CACACACACACACACACACACACACACACACACACACACACACACACACACACACACACACACACACACACACACACACACACACACACACACACACACACACACACACACACACATATATATATATATATATATCCAGGTAATCTTCCCTCCGGCAAATTGCGGCAGATGTATTTGCAATATACTGCAGCACCCAATAAATACAAAAAATTATACGGACTCTCAACTACGCGCACAATACAGTCTGACTATCACACAGGCACTTACTTCGTACAGACGTGAGGAACGACTGAGACTTTCTAAGGTGCGGCTGTGGCATGGTGGAATCCAGTGGATAGTCGACACTGGGCAGTTGTACGGTATCGTCATCGGACGCCTGCGGCGTGTCTTTGGGGCCCAATTTGATGTGCTCGGCCACTTCTTCTATCACCTCATCGATGTTGTGGGCAATGTTTCTCCGCGCCTCTTTCTGCGCGGTGCATTTGGGTGGTCGTGATTGTAGTTGTGGTTGTGGTTGGGGTCACGAATAGCACGTTGTGATATGAATATTTATTATAACTATTAAAACTCTTGCGTAGACAGACGTAACCCACGTGTGTAAACATACGATTTGCCAATCTCAGGGCATCCCCAAACGCCATGAGATTCCATGCAGAGACACGCCCATCTGCACTGCTGCACTATCCTGCTGTACCGCATGAACGACATAACCTTCTAAGACTGGCCATCACATTGTCAAAACATTTACGCATTCAGTTGGAGACAGAAATACTTGTGTGTATATACGATGGTGGTCATGTTTTTATCCTAGGGACATGGTCAACATCTCTTGTGCTCGTGTGCCTGATATGTATATGTAGTCTAAACTTGGAAGCAAAGCAGGCATTGACAAGCATCTGTACGCGATAGAGTGGATGAAGATTCATGCTCGATAGCAAAGACCAAAGCAACTGCATATACAGGGTGTTCAACGAACAATCATACAAGTATATATATGTATACACACAAACACACACACACACACACACACATCCACCCACCCACCCACACACACACCCACACCCACACACACACCCGCACCCCCACCCCCCCCCNCCCCCACACACATATATATA